AAGGTCCCACCCGGGTCCTAGGCCTGGGCCCAAACCGCATCCCCCGCCCCGTGTCATGAGCACCGTGGGTCCCACTCCAGCCCTGCAAACGCGAGTGGAGGAAAAAGCAGCTCCCCCACCAAGGACACAGCCTAAGTACCGGGGTGGTGGGAAGAGAAAACCGGGTGCCAGGAGCTTCTAACCCCCGCCAGCACTGGTTATGATCCATGGGGAAACTGAGGCACGGAGCCCCATGGAAGAGCCCGGAGCTGAGCCAGCACCAGCGTGTGACACATCCATACCTGTAACAAACCATCCACAGCATCCAAGCAAACTAGACTGTATTAATATTTACACTGATGAAGAGGAAGGAAATAAAAGGGAAAAGGTAGGTGGTGGAAAAGCAGGCGGCTGCCCTTTTGCCACGTGGGTTTCCCGTTGCATCCACGGGAGCTGGTTCCCCTCCCCGGGGGCTCACGACCTTCATGCGAACACAAGGCAAGGGGTGGTTGTGATTTCTGACAGCTTCCCCCCAAGAGCGATGGCTCATTCTCAACCAAAACCTCAATGGCGAAACCCAGCCTCGCCTGGCACTGTGCTCACGGCCCGGCTGCGTCCCGGCACTAAAACGTGCCACCACTCGCGTGCTCCAGACGTGACGCCAACGTTACCCAGAAGCAAAAGACCTGAGGAAAAGGCTGGGAAGAGGCAGCCTCGCCTCTGCTGCATGCTGGCGGGGGATTTGCGTCATTTTTGGCAGTCCGAATTCTCCCGGCAACGCCGTACGATGGTAGCTGCTGCTGAGTGCACGCCGCTTTGGCTGAAATCGGATAGGAAAAACGAAACCTTGGGAACGATCCCCCCCGCAATCACTGGGACAGAATTGCCACACTCAGGGGAGGAAGCCGACACTTGGAAGGAGCTGCCATGATTTCCCCCGGCTGCCGGTTCAGCCCCTGCGGCTCCGCTCTCCAACGCCCTTGCACGAGCTGATGCTGAGGGAAACGCTCCCAAAGCGTGGGCCAGCCAGAAGTGGGGCAGAGGCTGCTGCTTTTCCCCCCGGGACCCATCCGGATTTCGCTGCTTGTGAGACCGCCAGGAGCCCCGTGGCTGCGGCCCCGCTCCCGGTGTTCCTAGGGAGGAGAGCCCCCACCCAGGGTGCTCTGGGGTGGGCGCAGACCCCGCGTGGTGTGGAGGTGGCTTTCAGCACACCCCACAAGCCTCCGCCTGCCTTTTGCTGCGTACCCAAACCCTGCATTTTCTTTTCTAACAGCCCCAGAGCCCTCCACGTGTTTTTTCTGGAGTGCTACCGAGCCCAGCATTTGGCTTTCCCTGCACCCCAGAGCCTTCCAGGTGCCTTTTGGGGCACTCGAGTCCTCTGAGCATGCTCAGTGTACCCCAAAGCTCTCCTTCTGCCTTCCCTTGCACCCCGGAGCCCTCCCTGAGCCTTCCAGCACCCCCAAGAACTCTTTCAGTGGGCCTGGAGCCCTCTGAGTGCCTCTCCCTGCTCCCCAGGGCTCTCCACAGATTTTTCTGACGGCCCCCACCTGCGCTTCCAGGCACCCCAGGACCCTCCTCGTGACTTCTCACGTGCCCTGCAGCCCTCCGCCTGCCTTTCCCTGTGCCCCACATCCCTCTGTCCGGCTTTCGGAGCATCTCCTGGGGATCTGGCCTTGCCTCATCCCACGGGGACAAGCAGTGAGGCGGGAGAGCAGGAAGGGTTGGGTGGGCTTCCCAAGCCAACGCGCTCATAGGGGAGAAAGGCTCTCACCGAGCATCAGCGAGGCCCACGGGGGAGGAAGGGTCCCTGCCGTCCCTCTGCGCGCAGGGACGGGAAAGGAAGTGGAGTTTTGGCCATCTGAGCTTTGTGCACAACCCTGATGAGAAAGAACCGTGTAAGGCAGAAGGCAGGGAGCGGAGAGGCGCAGGTGCCGCTGTGTTACAACAAACGTCGCTTGGGAAGCGGCCAGCGGTTATTCAGGGGGCGTTGAAGCACAGGAGGCTGGCGCAGGGGTGTTCCGCAGCCCAGCCACGTCCCCGGAGGCAGCAAGCCTGGCAGCTGGCTCCCTCCCCGTGGCGAGAGGCACGAGGTAGCGAGCAGTGCTCTCCTAAAGGTCCTGACCTGCGGCTGGAGCTTGTCTACGTTGCTTCAAGCCACAAAATAACTTTACTGTGCAGGTACTCTGCTGCTTAACCATCCCAGTGCTTCAACAACAGCGTCTCAGAGGGAGGGGAGGGGTGTTTGGGGCATTGAAACTACGGAATCCTCTTTTCTGCATCCGAGACCGAACACCTCGCGGGGAGCAGGAGGCAGCCTTGCTGCCGGGATTCCCCAGCTCCTGGTTTTACATCCGCCACAAAGAGACGGTGGGGCAGAGGGAACGAAGTCCAGCGGCAGGTTTCTGAC